AAATTTCATACAACTGGGGCCAAAAGACGAGTTTAATTTAATTTTTTTTCTCTGTGTGATTTCAGCCCAAAAAGCTGTTGGTAGAATTTTATTTTTCATCCATAGGGATAAAAAATAAAATAAATGCAAAAATTCAGAGAGAGAGAGAAAAAAAATAAAATAAAATAAACAAAAAATTTTGTATTGAACAAAATACAAAAAAAAAAACACACAAAAAAAAACAAAAAACGAACAAGTTTTCATTTTCTATGTTGCCATCCTGTAATCTACTTCTTGAACATTGAAACAAAAGGGCAACTATTTATATTTAAAAAAAAAAAAAAAATGGTTGTGATAATATTTGTATGCTTGGTTTGAACAAGAACAACACATGGTGCAAAGTTCTGTCCCAAATGTTGGTTTGTTGATAGTGCTTGGTATCAGATAGCCATTTTTGCATACCCTGGGGGGAGGATGGCTGTCTTAATGTTTGTATGATAGGTCCATAAAAATCAATCATTGTGCCAAGGCCCGGAAAGCTAAGTGACCCCAATTCAACCTGCTTAATGTTTGAAGATAAACTGTTAGGCCACAAAAGATATTTTATATATATTTTATCAAGGATCTCTAAATATATAACAGGAGCATCAGAATGGATATGGTAGCAATATTCTTAGCATGGACATAATCTTAACAATGTAAGTGATATCAGTGGCACTTTGTTAGGGGTAGACTCAGAAAGGAAACTGAAAGGACTCTTTAAAATCATATATTAAAGGAAAGCAAATAGAAAGGACAAACCATTAATTTATATATATATATATATATATATAAAGACTTGTCATTTTAATCCATGTACTGTCATGGTAAAAATGTTCATGGCATCAATCATTGCGTGTTGCATCTCCTCTATGTGGTTTACTGAATGCAAAGAAAATGTTTGCAGAGAAGGCACTGGTATATAATAAAAACTCAAATTCTTTAATGCATTTAGCTATGGCAAGTGTTGACAAGTTGTATATTTGGCATGATTCTGAGCAATGTTAAAAGTCCTTACATATTATGAGCCGAATATTTAAATTTATTTTATTTGTAATTCTAAATATTTGTGGTATGTCAAGTCTCTCTTAAATGATGGATGGTTTTTTAGCTTAGAAAAGCCTGAAGCTCTTGGCAAAGATCAATTCAGTGCATCAATCAACCCCTCTTTACAAAAGAGATCCTTCAGAAGAACTAATTCACTGTACTTTCATAATTATTATTACAATTGGAATATTTTCAATACCAAATTTTCCACATTCCAAGACATTTCTAAATTTTGGTCAGAGTTTGTCCTTTAGAAATTGGCCCAGATTCATGACTTGAAAAGGTGTCAGTTCTTGCCAAGAATCTCAACTAGAGGCCATATGGAATGATTAAATTAGAAAATCCTGAAAATATGCAGGTGAATTATTATGCCAGGCCGTTATTTTATCAAGTGACCATTTTAGCATCAAATGTAGCACTGGCACACTTTTTACCTCTATTGTTTACTTCTAAAGAGTGTTAGTCAACAAGGGAGATAACTGGAATTTTACAGGGACTAAGCAAAAAATGTTTAGTTAGATTCGATCAGTATGCCTTGAGCTAGAATTTATAGTATCATAAGATCCCTAATATTCATCTAAAAGACACTTGCATTATTTTTGCTGGAACAAATTAAAAGTGAAAGTTTCACAATTGTAGTCCAAAATGTCCTAAACTGCAATTATGAAACTAAGGTTTATTAGTTTGAGCTGAGAAGACGTGTGAAAATGTCAGCTGTCATGTCTAGCTGAGACAACTTGTGAGAGTGTCAGCTGTCATGTCTAGCTGAAGTGACATGCAAGTCTCAGCTGTTGCGTCCAGTACCCAAAAAACATGCAGATTTATGGCAGAATCTTAAGTCATGGAATTTGTGCCACTTTCAAGAACAATATTTCTTTTTTATATTTTAAGTATGTGTGTCCAAATGAAGACCTCCTAAAAAGAAGGAGTGTCGATTTCAGCTTCGTAGTACAGATCAAAAAGAGATCTTATTGCTCCCTAAAGCCAAGTCAACATTGAATATGTCAAGTGTATCTTTTCAATGTCAAATCTCTTGCTATATCTTTTGACACGGACACACAAGTCTTTTTAATGACACTTCCAAGTGAAGATCATTTGAATTAGTCAGGCAGACTCAGGTCTTCAGCCTTGGTTGGCAAACAGAAGAACAATAATGAAATTCAAAATTGCATATTGCCCGGGCAAAGCTAATGAAAGGATCCTGGGATTTTAAAGTGACTATCATCCTGGCTGTAGTCAGCCTTGATTGATCGATAGGGTTATAAAGCCCACATTATCTTTCATGGGTCTTAAAAGTGAGGTTAATTATTGCTTTAAACGTATCTGTTGGCTTATGAGGGGGAAATAATCAATAAAGAAAATTCCCTATCATTTCCAGATACCAGAAGGGGCATTTATATGGTTTGACCAAACATGATGTCCACCTTAGAGAAAG